AGGCAGGCCAAGACCACTCCAGGGCCACCAGGCTAGGGGAGTGAAAGGCCCTCTGGCCCTGGAGCCCACCAGCTGCTGTGCTCTTGCCCAACAGTGGTGCTGATGACCTGCTGCCCATCCTGTCCTTCGTGGTGCTGAGGAGTGGGCTTCCCCAGCTGGTGTCAGAGTGTGCTGCCCTGGAGGAATTCACCCATGAGGGGTAGGAATACCCGGGCCAGTGCGGGGGCAGGGCCAGGCATGCACCCCCAGCTAGGTGTCTCCTTGGGAAGGACTAGAGACAGGGCAGCCATGTCCACCAGGGGATTTCACCCCGTTCCTAGACTGGTGCTAGGCAGTGACAGGCTGTGGGCAGACAGGAAGGCAGGCTGGAGGCCCCAGCAGCACCTCTGGGCCATGTTGTAGGTGCACCTGTGCCTAGAGCCCTTTGTGTCCCACAGTCCCTTGCTCAGCAGGCCCTGACAACACCTGCTCATGGAAGGGTGGTTCTGCCACCCACAGACAAATAGGTAGTAGGGAAAGGCCCTCCCAAGCCTGGCCTCCCTGACAGCCCAGGTCTGGTCACCTCTGGCCCAGGTCCTGCCCTGTGAGAGCAGACGTCACTTTCCAGAGTCCTGGGTGTCATGCCCCTCAAGGTGACACGTGCCTTTGCCCCTCCTTGCAGCTACCTGATTGGAGAGGAGGGCTACTGCCTGACGTCACTACAGAGCGCCTTGAGCTATGTGCAGCTCCTGCCCCGAGGGGTCCAGGGCCACTGAGGTCAGCCCATGGCCTCCATGCTGCCCTGCGCACCTGGCCCTGGGGTGGGGAGCCAGCCAGGCCTGCAGGGGTCTCCTGCTCTTGCCCCTTCATCACCCACATCTGCCCCTCTCCCAGCAGGGCCGAGGCAGCCCCCGAGCCCGCCCCTGCTCTGTTCTCTGCTAGCCTCTGAGACCTGGTAAAGGGAAAGCTGGGGCCTGTACACCACTGGCAGGCCTCTAGCATTGCACATCTGCAGGCACAACCCAGCCTGCCAACACTAGAGTGGCCCTCACAGGGCAGCAGCTCAGAGCAGGGAGCTAGGAGCCTGGCCAGAGCAGCAGTCTCCCTTCCCCCAGAACAGTCAAAGCCTTCTGAGCCAGTTTCCTGCCACAGCCTGCCAGCCCCGTCCCAGGAACTTGGGCACGGCAGTGTGGGACTGTGATCGACTGATTGGACAGCAGCTGCCCTGCTCGCTTGTGTTGGCCCAGGTGTTCCTGCCCTGAGTTTGGAACTCTGACACTCCCTGCCCTGGCTCACTTTGGTGGTGAGTGATGAATATTCCAGAACCGCTGTCCAGCTCCCACTTCTGTATAGCCTCTCCCAGGCCAGCCTGAGCCCGAGGCCACCTGCCTGCCACACACCTGTATGGCCACCAACCTGGCCTAAAATAAAGAGTCGCTGCTGTCTGACTCTGTGTGGCTGCTCAGTCTCCACCCCACTGGCCAGAGGGAGGCCTGGCTACTGGTGTCAGGGCTCAGCATGGCCATCCTCTTCTGGTCACCGCAGAGACCACTAAGCCCAGGCACCCACCCCAAACCTGTGTTCAGAGCGACCGTCTGCTCCAGTGCAGGGTCCTCTGGGCTGTTCTTGGCCAGGCAGGTGTAGGGTTCCCTCCAGGAAGCACAGCTCCCAGGGACTTGGTGGGAAGCCAGGAAAGAGCTCCTCACCGGGACCCTGAATCGCTCCCGATGGAGACACAGGTGCCCTGCGGTGGCAGGGTGGCAGCCCGCCTACAAGTGCCCCACAGCAGCCACGTGTGAAGTCTGGCTGCCACGTGGGGATGCATGTCCCTGGTCTGCAGCACCTCCACAGGTGGATGTGCACGGAGTGCCTTGAGGTGGCCCTACATGCCACACGGGACAACACACAGATGAGTGCTCTGCCACGTTGCACTTCCCCAGATGCCTTGTGATGTCTGCTCTGGCAGGGAGGCAAGCTATCCTGTAGGGTAGCAGGGTCCTGTCCCCTCAGCAGGCCTTGACGTGGATGTTGAGAAGACGGGCTTTAAGTCCTGCTTCACAGAGCAGCGCAGGGTGGGCTGTGTGCTGAGGGAGTCCTGGTTTTGTATCTGCTGGCCCTGCCTGGGGTGGAGCACCTGCAGGCCAGTCCTGGGAGGGCTGGGGCCGCCTCCACCATTTCCTGGGTGTGTCCAGGTGCTGCTTCAGCTTAGTCCCTCAGTCTTCTGAGACTGTGGATCTGCAGCAGGTTGGACAAGGAACAATCTTCCCATTGGAAATCCTGCAAGTCAACAAGAAAAAGGCAGAAGTCCCCAATTATAAAAACAGCAATGGCCTCAAACAGCCTTTGTATAGAGGAAGAGAGAGAGGAAAAAAAAAAAAAACCAGTATGAGAGGAAGGAAGTTTTCAGAACCATAACAAGAAATGGAAGTTAAACCAGCCTCGCTGGCATACACCTATAATCACAACAGTTTAGGAGGCTGAGGCAGGAGGATCACAGTTTCAAAGCCAGCCTCAACAATTTGGTCCTTGTCTCAAAATAATAAATACGATGATGTGGGGATGTGGTTCATCAGTTAATTTAAACATGCCTGGGTTCAATCCCTGGTACAAAAAAAAAAAATTCAACTTGAAACAGTAATTTCAAGCTGAGGTTGTGGCTCGGTGGTAGAGCACTTGCCTAGCATGTGTGAGGCACTGGGTTTGATTCTCAGCACTGCATATAAATAAAAGTCCATTGACAACTAAAAAGTTAAAAAAAAAAATAACTTCACCAGGCCTGATGGCACACGCTTATAATCCAGCAACTCAGGAGGCTGAGGTAGGAGAATCCCAAGTTCAAAGCCAGCCTCAGCAAAAGCAAGGAACTAAGCAACTCAGTGAGACCCTGTCTCAAAATACAAAATAGGGCTGCGATGTGGCTCAGTGGTTGAGTGCCCCTGAGTTCAATCCCCAGTAGCCTCCCCCCGCCAAAAAAAAAAAAAAACTTTATACCATTGCAACTGGGGAGGGTAGCTGTGGGGTGGATGGTGCAGTGACCAGCTGCACTCCTCAGGGTCAAGGTAAGTATTGATGGACCCACTGATGTAGCAGTACTCATGGGAGAGACGTGCACAAATTAAAGGGACATAGCATCCATCCTTGGGCAAGCAGGAAGCAAGGTAAGGATGCATCAACTGGTTTTGTGCATGACCTTGCATCCAGGAATAGTTAATGGGTGTGCAATCCAGGTAGGGCTGCTTCCACACTGGGGTAACCTAATGCTGAGGGGTAGGATCCATCTGAAGAGCTATCTGTTCATATGTCTTGAGTTTGATGCTGGTGGTCAGCTGGGACCTCAGGGCTGTCAGAACATGTGAGGCCTGTACATGTATCTTGTGGCTGCTGTAACAAAATACCACAAAAATTCACTCTCATGGTTCTGCAGGCCAGAAATCTGAGGTCTCAGTGTCAGCAGGGCCACACACTCTCTGAAGACTAGGGGAGACTCCTTCCTGCCTTTTCCAAGCTATTAAATCTTCAGGATCCCTGAGGTCCTTCAGTTGGAGCTATCTCACTCTCATCTCCATTTCCACGTGGTCTTCTACCTCTGAGTTTAAAACGCTCTTCTTACAAAGACATCAATCATCTGGGATTAGGGGCCATCCCAGTCTGGAATAACCTCATCTTGATGATCTTAGAAAGCCCTGCCTGTCTCCCAGGAGTTGTAGTCCCAGACTGCAGGTGTACAGGGATCCATCCACTCCTGCCAGTCTCCTCATAGCACCAGCTGGGGTCTGAAAGTCAGCATCTCAAAATAAGGCAGGAGCATGGCCACGCTCCTACGTTTTTGTTTTTTTTTTCTTTTGTGATACTGGGGATTGAACCTAGGGGAACCGCACCACTGAACCACAGCCCCAGCCCTTTTTATGAGATATAGTCTCCTTAAATTGCCCAGGTGGTCTCGAAATTGCAATCCTCCTGCCCCAGCCCCTGGAGTTGTTGGGATTAAGGTGTGTTAGCCACTGTGCCTTGCTGGGCATGGCATCCTAATGATCTGGACTCTGAAGTCCCAGTACTGCTGAGTCAAAGGCGGCCTGAAACCCCGGGGGAGTGGTCACTGGGGGCCCAGCAGGTTCAAGAAGAAGGGAGCTAGGAGACAGAGGAATCAAATTAGGAACAGAGAAGGGTTCACTCGATCCTTGCTGACAGGAAGAAAATGAAAGGCTGAAGAGCTGCAGGCAAATGAAGTCAGCTCCCCTAAGGGTCAGTGTGACCCCTTGGATGCCTAAACACTAAATGAAAAATTCCCAGTTTAGTAGCAGCCAGCAAAACGCCTCTGAGAGATCTGCCTACTTGGTCACAACGTTTAACGAATTTCCTTAGAAACATCTAAAAATATCCCAGTGAAAATCCTAACAGAAGGCAGGTAACTTTCCCCGGGGAAGGTCCCTTCTGGACACATTTGAGCCTTGGTTTGGTGACCTGGGGAGGAAAGGAGCAGGAGGTGCCAGGAAGAGGACCCAATGGAACACCCTGCTTCCATCCGGCGGGGACCCTCCGGCGTTCACCCCCCTCCACCAGAGGAAACCAAAGGAAGGGAAGTCAAACGTCCCGAGAGGGGTGGCCCAGACTGAGGCTGGCAGATCTGCAGCGCGGCCGCTTGGCAGCCTCGAGGCCACGCTGGCCGACAGAGGGAGGGGAACGCCTTCATCTCGCCTCAAAGACCCCCAGACCAGGGGTTGAGAGGTACGGAGCAACGAGCAGAGCAGGGAAAGCCACCCAACCCAGAGATTGCTGCAGGAACCACCGTCCCCATCCCACCCGGAGCGCGCCCCTCCGGGGACTCGGCCAACGCCCCCCGCCCCGGACCCCGCAATGCGAGGCCCCGCCCCCGCCAGGAGAGGGCCGCCCGCTTCCGCGAGATCTGGGCGCTTCCGAGGATCGGCGCGGGAAGTCCCGGTCGCAGGGGTGAGCGAGCGGCGCGCGGCCACCCCTCGGAAGGGCTACCAGAACGCAAGGCCACCGGCCACGGATCGAGCGCCGGCCGCCAGCCCTCGCGCCGCGGAAACGCCGGAAACGCCGCCCGCCGGCTCCGCCCACCAGGGGTGGCGCCCTCTAAGCCCCACCCCACCGTCACGGCTAGGGTTCGGGCGGAGTCGACTCCCGCGGAAGCTCGCGGCCGTGGGAAGACACACTCGGAGAGGCGGCTGCTCGCGGACGGCTGGGGACCGACAGGTATCGGTATCGCCGTCGCACCCTGGCCCAGAGCATCTGGTGGGCGAGGGACTCCAGGGAAGGAGGTGACGTCCATGCCGGACGCGCACCGCGGGCAGGACGAGGCTGCGGAGCGGGAGGCCGTCGGCAGGTGCTGTGCGGGGGAGCGCTCAGCTGGTGGGGACGAGGTCCGCAGGTGGGAGAGCTTGCTGTGGACAGCAGGGGCGTTCAGCTGGCGGGATCGGGCCTCCAGGCTCGGGAGAAGCTGCGGACAAGGGGCCCGCCCTCCTGGCGAGGCCAGGGTCTCCGAGTTGGGAGAGGATGCTGGATGGGGGGGCTTTGGGGTCACTCAGTCGGGAGGGAGTACTCTCCAGTTCCTGACGCCCCGACCCGCTCGCCAGGATGGGCAGCAGCTCGCTGTCCGAGGACTACCGCCTGTGCTTGGAGCGCGAGCTGCGGCGGGGCCGCGCGGGCGTGTGCGGAGACCCCTCGTTGCGCGCAGTGCTCTGGCAGATCCTGGTGGAGGACTTCGACCTGCACGGGGCGCTGCAGGACGACGCGCTGGCGCTGCTCACCGACGGCCTGTGGGGCCGCGCCGACCTGGCGCCCGCGCTGCGCGGGCTGGCACGGGCCTTCGAGCTGCTGGAGCTGGCGGCCGTACACCTGTACCTGCTGCCCTGGAGGAAGGAGTTCACCACCATCAAGGTAGGGCGCCGGACGCTGCCGGTTACCGTGGGGGAGTGACCCTCCTTTTGGGGTTTCAGGTGTCCTCAGGGCCCGAAGCGCTAGCAGCCCGTGGGCGTGTTGAGGTCCCGGGTGGGCGCAGGGCAGCCTTGGGTGCCTATCTGCCGGGCCCCGCGGCCCTGGTTGCCGTGGAAATCCTAGGACAGGCGCACAGGGGGACTTGGAGGCCCATGCCCTCCGCCCCCCCCCCCCCCCTCCTCCGCCTGATCTGGTCTGTAAAGGAGGATGCTGAAGCCGGAGGGGGGACGGGTGGACAGCACGGATGGGGGATGGCACGGACCTGGTTCCCGGCTAGGGCCGGGTCGGGCTCTCTGGGGAGCTGCCCTGAGCTGGAGGGGGCAGGGCTGCCGGATGCTCCTAGCTAACTGGGAGGAGTAGGAGGGTGATGACGTCAGTGCCCACGTGGGCGAGGTATGCCTCCACCGGTTGCCTAGCTGCAAACAGCCTCTTGGAAGGAACTCAGGAGCTGGCAGCTCCACTGGGGCACCGCTGGTCCAAGGTTGTTGAACTTTTATTCAGCCTTTCAGACTAGGGGATAAGGAGGGCCCACTAGCCCCATGGTGGGGAGGGGCAAAAGCAGAATGGCCAGGCCTGTCCTTGAGGGTCTCAAAGCGCAGGGGGAGGCTGGGAAGGAGCAGAGCTGGCTGGTGATTTGGTTCTGCCTCTTGGCTGTGTGACTTTGGGCAAGTTACCTAATCTCTCTGAGCCCATTTTGTTTTCTGAGAAAGGGACACAGGTCCACAGAAAAGGAAGTTCTACAGCTGGTGCTCAGTACCTGGGAGGTGTGTGCCTCCAGCTACTGTAAGCAGAGGGGTGCTCCACAGAGCCCTGGAGTTTCAGAACTTACTTAGGAGAGGCACAATGCCATGGGTCTCATGATCCTTTTGGTTCTTCTAGAAAGCCATTTCAGGGTACTCACCTACCTGCATGAGAGGACTAGGGTGTAACTCAGGCAAGCAGGGCACTTGCCTCACACAGGCGAAGCCCTGGTTCAATCCCCAGTACTGCATCCATGCAGGGGAATACTACACAGTAGGGAAAAGATGCACAGCAAAGCCTCTTACCCTGGTGAGGAAAGGTCTCCAGTACTGTTGTGAAGAAGCAGAAAAGCAGGAGAGTGCTGAAGAGGCTGTTTTAAGGGGATAGACTATTGTAGCAAACCCTGGGGTAGGAGGAGGTGGGAGAGTCCAAGAGGAGAACTGCTCTAGGCAGGGCACTCGGTGTGGACCTGCCCCAGACAGGTCAGAGCAGTGCTGGGGCCTGGCTGGCAGAGGGCCTGACCAGGCCCCTCCCTTGCAGACCTTCTCGGGGGGCTACGTGCATGTGCTGAAGGGCGTGCTCTCCGAGGAGCTCCTCATCCAGAGCTTCCAGAAGATGGGCTACGTGCGCAGGGACAGCCACCGCCTGATGGTGACCGCTCTGCCCCCTGCCTGCCAGCTGGTGCAGGTAGCCCTGGGCTGCTTCGCCCTCCGGCTGGAGTGTGAGATCCTAGGTGAGGTGCTGACCCAGCTGGGCACCAGTGTGCTGCCAGCAGAAGAGCTACTGAGGGCCCGGCGGGCCAGTGGGGATGTGGCCTCCTGTGTGGCCTGGTTGCAGCAGCGGCTGGCCCAGGACGAGGAGCCACCGCCTCTGCCTCCCCGGGGCACTCCTGCTGCTTACAGGGCCCCGCGGGACCTGTACCGGGACCTTCAGGAAGACGAGGGCTCGGAGGAGGCCAGCCTCTACGGGGAGCCCTCACCAGGTGCAGACTCACCCCCTGTGGAGCTGGCCTACAGGCCACCACTCTGGGAGCAGAGTGCCAAACTGTGGGGCACTGGGGGTGGGGCCTGGGAGCCCCCAGCAGAGGAGCTGCCTCGAGCCAGCAGCCCACCCTATGGGACCTTGGAGGAGGAGCTGGAGCCTGAGCCCTCTGCCTTCTCTTTCCTTTCACTGCGCCATGAGCTGAGCCGACCTGGGAACTTGGCTGCTCCTGAAGGCCCTGGGAGCCCAGGGAGGGCCAGTCCTCGACATGTGCGGGCAGAGGGGGCCTCAGCCTATGGGCCTGTCCCTGAGCCCCTGAGCTACCAGGCACACAGCTGTCTAGCCCCCGGTGCCCTGCCCACCCTTTGCTGTGACACTTGCCACCAGCTACATGCTGCCCACTGCACAGCCCTATCAGCCTGCCGCCCCAGCCACTCACTGCGGGCACTGCTCAGTGAGGCCCAGAGGCGCCTGTGGCTGCAGCGTGCACAGGTGGACACCCTGCTGTACGACAGCCCAGGGGCCCACCCCTAGGCCCAACTGGCTCAGGTCAAGGGTTTTCAGGAATTTCCATGGTGCTGCTCTTGGGGAGGGGCCAAGGCCATTGAATGCCCTGGTCTCCCTATCCCTGGGGGAGTCCAGGGAGGTGGGGGTAGAGCCTCCATGGGAAGCTCCTGCCTGGGGTCAGTACCAGGTCCTCCTCCCCCAGGGACCAGGCTCAGGCCCAGCTGGCAGTAAGCCCTGAGCTGGACTGACACACCTGCCAATGTGTCCCTGTCCTCCATGCCCAGTGTACTGAGCGAAGGGTCCCTGTCACCAGTACCCGAACCTGTCCCTGAGAAGGACCCACCCCTTTAAAATCCCCTCACCTGCTGGCTGGCCCGTAGCTCCTCGTCCATTCCCTGCAGCCTGTGGTTCAGGACAGCAGGTTGCCCACCCTCCATGTGGCTTGCTCAGGGTCTGCAGGGCCAATCTGGGAAGCTGCCAGGTGCCGGCTGATCTGGTTTGAGGGCCTTGGCCTCCCCACAGTGTCACAGCCAGGGGGTGCTGGCTGGTGGAACCCAGGCAGCTGTGCCACTTCCTACCCAGTGGAGAGAAGGCTCAGCCACCAGCACCCTGCTGCCTCCCAGCAGAAGAGGGGGCAAGTCCTGCAGGCCACCCACTGGACTGCTGTGTCCACTGTGGGTCTGTGCAGCTGCTGCAGACCCCAGAGGGAAAAACCACAGCCTGCTTTCCCTGGAGGCCACCTAGGGCCCCTGAGACCAGGGTCCCCAGGCCGCCAGCCCACCCAGGGATGGGTAAGTGCAGAGTCTGCCCTGGCCCAGCTTCAGGGGGCAGGTACGGCGATCTGTGCCCCATCCTGCTCCTCCTCCCCAGTGCACTCAGAGGACACTGTCCATGTCACACAAGAAGGAACCCCACAGTGTATTAAACAATGGTGAAACCAGGTCTATTAGGAGAGTGTTTCTCTTGCTCAGGATGGGAGCCAGCTGCTTCTCTTAGGAGTTTCAAGGGTGCCCCCCTTCCCAGCCCTGCCCAGGGTCACCACAGCTTCTCTGAGCCCTGTGCAGCCCCTGTGACCAAGAGGCAACAGCACAGCAGTCCTCAGAGGCCAGTGCCCACCCCTGGCTCCAAGACCCCACTAAGTTGTACCGCCTGAGATTTCAGCACCAGTGTGTCCTCCTCTCAGGAGTTTCTGCCAGACAAGACCCTGCACAGCCACCAGGTGTTGCCACAACAACTCAGCTCACCTGGGTACACAGGCTGCAGCTCCCGCCCCTACTGCACCCCAAGTCCATACCTGCCTGGTTCTGGGCACAGGCAGGGTGGAGTCAGCTCAAGGAACAGGATGGTCGAGGGTAGCCTGGGGACCAGCTGCATGCCAACTTCCCAGGAGGCCTAACCTGACTTGCAGGGGCATTCCCAGTCCACTGCAGGCCTGGCCATCTGACGCAGGCCCACCTCAGGGCTTACACCGCTTGCTCTGGCTCTCTGCAGTGGCCGGGGCAGCTCGCTTATTTCGGTGGTGGGGGAAGGTGGGCATGAGCTCCGGCTCACAGGCTGCAGGAGAGGAGCAGTTCAGTGTTAGGGTAGAGGGATGGGTGGCTCCCCAGCAGAGCAGGCCATGGGGCATGCTCCAGGTCCTCACCTATCCAGGATGTCCACATCCTGCGTGCCCTGGAAGTCCACCCACCAAGAAAAGGGCCACTGGCCAAGCAAGCCCCCAGAGAACAGAACCCAGAGGGTCTGGGGAACTTACGCAGGGGCTTCTCCTTGAAGTAGGAGCTCTCCAGGCAGTCTCCCGCGGTTGCCCTGCAGAAAAGCAGCCCATTAATGGGATGCTGGCCTCAAAAAGGTCTGTCCCCTCACACCCCAACCGCTTCTGTTTTAAACTTCCAGTAGCAGGGTAGATGGTAAAGGGAGGTTTGGGGTCCAGAGACCACAGGGAACCTCAGAGTGAGTTCTACAACAGGAGGAAGCAGAGAGAACCCACCCTGGACGTTGGCAGCAATGCGGCCCATGTTGTGAGAAACTGTCTTTCAAGGTTCTGCTTGAGCTGGGGGAAGGGGTAGAGCACTGGCCCAGGGGATGCGGCTCCAGGTTCAGACCCAGCACCACAAGAATAAATAAGGGATGTGGGTTTGAGGGGTCCCTCCACCTCTGCGGAGAGCAGGGCCTTCCCATTCCAAATGCTGACTCGCAGTACTGCCCGCAGGCGGGATCTGACCTTTTCTTGGGGTCATACATGAAGAGGAAATTCAGCAGGCGTAGTCCAGCCTCTGAGAGCCAGGGGAACTTGTGCTTGAGGTTGTTGTACGGCTGTTTCCTCAGGCTGTACTGGCCAGCCAGGGGCAGCTTTGAGAAACCCTGCAGGAAGCAGGGCTGGAGCCATGGACGGGCTGGGCACAGGGGGCACTGGGGACTGCCAGGTTACCCACCGGCCAGATGTTTTCGCTGGGTGTCCCCAGCAGCTGCACGATTAGGTCAATCTGGTGAATCTCAGAGGTGCCTGGGAGAAGGGGCTTGTGGGCCAACAGCTCAGCTAGAACGCAACCCACCGCCCTACAAGGGGAGAGACCACAGACCTGAGTGCCATGCCACCAGACTGGTGATGGGATAGGCAAGAGGGCACAGCCAGGGCAGACCTGCTGCCACGGCCACTCTGCAGCTGCACTCTCATGCACCCTGCCCTGCCCTGGCTGAGCTCTGGGAGCAGCGGCTCTCACCACATATCGATGCTGGTGGTCTGGGTGGTGGTTCCCAGCAGCAGCTCAGGCGCACGGTACCTGCAGAGAAAGGCACTCCAGGTCGCTATGGCCAGCCCCTCTCCTTCAGCCAGGGCCAAGCCTCCCAGAGGCTCCACAGTACCCTGAACAACAGGACCACTACTGCCAGGTCCAATACCCTCTGCTCTAGGCCTGAAAACCAGGGTGACACAGTGGTCACAGCTGTTAATGGAGAGCTGCCACATGAGCCTGTCCTGGGCGTTACGAGAACCACCAAGGCCTCGGCACAGGCCTGTGGACATCAGCCTGCTGGAGTGTGGTTAATGCACACTCCAGAGGTGCCACATAGGGACCCTCATGTCCTCCCTTGCCACAGGTCGTTCTGCCTGTTAACAGGATGATCACGGAGCTACGGAGGCCACCCAACTCCCAAGGTGCTTCCAAGCCAGCTCTGAAGGCACCACCTCAGGAAGGTGGACAAGGTGGGCTCCTTAAGGCCACTAAGCCTAGCTGTCACCCTTTGCCAGGTCAACCCTGGCTGTTCTGGGAAGCTGTCCTAGGCCACAGGTGACCTGGAGTGCCTTTCTCTGTCCAGCCTTTATGAGTCTCCCAGACTCTCCACTCTTCTGCAGTGTTGGCCCCACCCTCAAAGGGCCCTGAAACAGGTACACTCATCCCCGGGAGGGACTCACCAGAGGGTGACCACCTTGGGGGTCATTGGCTTGACTGGCACACCGTAGGCCCGGGCCAGGCCAAAATCCGCTGTGGTAAAGGCAAAGAGGGAAGGAGAGGTCCTTCAGGGCACTAAACAAGGACCAACACCCCCACCACCAAAGGTGTGTCCACAGAAAGCCACCTCCACACGTGCAGGGCCACCACCCTGTACCCACCTGTCTTCACACAGCCCTTGTCAGTCATGAGCAGGTTGGACACCTTCAGGTCCCTGTGACAGAACGCCAGTGTTCCCAGGAAGCAAGCTCCATGGGGCAGACTCACCACAGCCTTGAGACCACATCGGTCTTACACTGCCCCCAACCCCCTTCTGAAAGCAAAGGGTAGCAATGGCAAGGACACTGGCCGCCAGGTATGCAGTGGCTCCCGCTGCTGTGAGAGAGGCAAAGCCGGCCTCCGGCTCCCATCCCCAAAGGCCCCCCACTCCCAGCAGTTCCTGGCAGAAGTCGTTTCCCCCAGGCAGCTGGAGAACTTCTACTGGACACTGCCCCTGGAGGTCTCTGCGAATGACGGCAGTAGGGAAGGCCGGTCACCCTGCCCAGTGCAGGCAACTGCTCCGACCTCCTCTGGCTTCCTCAGTTCACCTGTGAATGATGAAGTTCCTGTGAAGGTACTGGAGGCCGCGGAGCACCTGCAGCACAATGCACTTGACCTGTGTAGAGACCCAGGCAAGGGTTAGGGCGAGCCCACGGTGGACCCTCTATGTGCCATGTCCTTACTGGTGGCCAGGCTGTCAACACACAGCCTCAGGAACTTAGTGGTTGCTGTGTCCAATACAACCAGAAAAGTACAGTTGCCACCTCTCCTCCCCAGGGGCCTCACGTGTCCCAGGCTGGGCTCCTCCCACTCCCCAACATGCCCCACAGGCAGTAACTGCACCTCTTTCAAGAGGGCTGAGACACCCCCACACCACCACCAGCCTTGTTTGGTACAGTGGTCACTGACCAGGGCTCGCAACGTGCCCCTCACATACCTGAGCTTCAGAGAAGGGCGTCGGCATATTCTCTAGGAGGCTGGCCAGGTCCTGTTCACAATAACCCATCACCAGGAAGATGCTGGGAGAAAACACAGGAAAACACATGCCCCATCCTGTCTTCTCCCTTCTGGGCAGAGGCCCTCCCTCACTGCAGGAAGGGTGGCACAGAGGAACAGGGCCCACACGGGTGGTGGGCCAGCAGGGTACCTCTCCAGGTGGTTCCCGACAACCACCTCCTTGAGCTCCACAATGTTTGGGTGGCGAAGGCGCAGGAGCAGAGTGATCTCCCGCAGGCTGCTGATGGGGATGCCTGCAACAGAGAAGGCTCAGTGAGCCCCTGCCCTGCCTTCAGGCTCCAGGGACACCCAGTGAGAGATGCCGCTACTGTCCCGGCTCGGGGAGACTGGCCATCCCAACACCACTCGTCACTGTCACTCATCAATAAAATCAGCAACTCTGTGCTCACTGCTGTACTGAGGGCATCCTGGTGGGTCCGAGCCCCCCCCCACTGCGGCTCAGCGGGGTGCCAGATTGGAGTGGAAGGTAGGTGAGGTGAATCGCCAGACTGGAGGGAGAGGAGGGGCAGGAGAGAATCCACACACCTCCAGGCAGTGGGGACAGACTTCACAAACCTGGCCTGGAGGTGACAGGCTGAGCCAGCCCCCTAATCATACCCCTTCCTGCTTTGAGGTCCTAGCTGTAGTAGTCTACCCCTCCCCACTCACCATCCTTCTCCTTGTCCATTCGCACCTTCTTCAGGGCAACGATCTCGTCTGTCTGTGTGTCGCGGGCCCGATCTGGAATGGAAACCCATCACAAGCCCCTCTGTGCTAGGCAGGAGCCCCTCTGAGGCTCCTTGGGGTTCCCTGCCCCTCCTCAGAAGCCCCCTCAGCTCCTCAGGGTTCCCTTCCTCTTCTCAGGAGCCCCCCCTCACCTCCTCAGAACTGCCTTCCCTCTAGCAACCTAGTGCCTAGTGATGCTCGGTCCTCACTCTGTGCAAGCAATACTCCTGAGACAAGCTCCCCGGTGCTCCCTCACTTGAGCTGGGTGGGAATGAATACCCAGTTCCTCTCTGAAACCTGGCCTCCGGCAACTCAGGCAACATATGACCCACTGCTTCACATCTGCCTGCAGCTATGTTCCAACAACAAATAAAGTGCTCTATCTGGACGGTCCCTCTTCCAAACACTAGACAGAAAGTCTCACACCAACAGAGCTGGTATGAACACCAGCTGCTGCTGAAAATTCTACCTTTCAATATTCTAACAGCCGCTGCATTCCATGGTTATACATTTGGGTTACTGATATTAGCACCCTGAAACTGAGGTTTGCCCCCAGATATGGTGTAAAGTTCATGGAAACTGCACTGGGCGTTAAAAGCTCCTGAACAAGCTTTGGGATTGAACCCAGAGGCACTTAACCACTGAGCCACATCCCAGCCTTGAGAAGCTTTTGCCAGCCCCAACACAGCTGCCTTGTGGCAACCCAGCCTGTACTCATCAGCCACAAGCTGCACCTCCAGGCACCCCACGGTGGTCACTCACACACAATGCCATAGGTGCCCTCGCCAATGCGGTTCAGCTTCTCAAACTCCTTCACGCTCCGGCATCGCCCCAGCTGAAAGAGAGAGGTGCTGCCAGTGTGGCGCCTGGAAGCTGGTAAACAGCTGAGAACAGGCATTTCTCACCCACCTGGCACTGGGAAGTCCACCCATGTCCTGCTCACCAAAGAGAAAAGCAGCCACACACTTGGGCTTCTCTGATGAGAAAAGGGGGAGGATGATACTGGGCCCACTTTGAACGAAATACAGAGGTGGCCTAGCCACTCCTTCTCCATCCCAGTCTGCATGCCTGCTGTCTACAACAGTCACCACTGTGCACAGCAACACCATTATGGCAGAGAGTACTATCGTCACCATCCAGTCACTACCTCCTCTGTGTGAAGAAACATGGCTCAGGCTGGGCAGGGTGGCGCAGGCCAGTAATTCAGCCACTCAGGAGGCTGAGGCAGGAGGATCCCAAGTTCCAGGCCAGCCTCACCAACTTAGCGAGATCCCGTCTCAAAATAAAAACTAAAATGGGCTGGGGATGTAGCTCAGTGGAAGAAAAGAACACTTTGATTCAATCTCTTGTATCAAAAAAAGAAAAGAAAAACAGAAGAAAAGAAGCACTGTTCAGTGGCACCTGGCCACGTGTGTCTTCCAGGTCAAAGGAAGCTGGCTACCACCCACTCCCCTCCAGGGAGGCTGGGAATGGCTGAGAACAGGGGGAGCAACAAGGCAGAAGAGGGCTAGGATGCAGCTCAGCGGTGGACTGCTTGCCAGCATGCTCAAGGCCGTGGCTTCAAGCCCCAGTACCACAAAAAAAAACCACCATGGCCCACCGTGTGGAAAACAGCTGCCTTTCTAGGATGTTAGTGAAGAGAGGAGATAAAGCTCTGCCCACCCAGAGAGCCTGCACCCTGACAACCCTGCATGATGTGGTGCCTCTGGAGAAGGGAATGAGCACTTCTCCTTGGATGTAAGCAGTGTCTGCAGCAGGGTTCTGATTCCAACAGCCTCTCCTGGTTTCCCTTCTCTTGTCTTGTTACTCTGAGACCTAGAGGCAACTGGCCTGGCTCCCTGCAGGGTCTCATTCCTCCTCACACTGCTGCTCTGCTGGCACCTCCTGCCCACACTGTGACCCTCCTGCTCTGCCCCTGCCTCCTGAGTGTGGCATGCCACCCTTCTCATCTGTGTCCAATCTGATCACACTTCCTGGTCCAAAAGAAATGCCAGTTCTTCTGCCAATCTCGTCCTGGCCCCAGCTGAACGCGACTCCTAAGACCCTAGAGACTTCCAGGTCTCCAGGCACTGCTAATTATGCACGTTGCCTGTCCTCCCATTGGGCCACGACCATTATTTGTTTGTTTATTTATTTTGGTGCCAGGGAGTGAACCCAGGGGCGCTTAACCATTCACTGAGCCTCATCCCAGCCTTTTTCAATATTTTAGAGACAGGGCCTCGCTAAACTGCTGAGGCTGGCTTTGAGCTCCCCATCCTCCTGCCTCAGCTTCCCAAGCGGCTGGGATTCATGCCCAGCTCTTGATTCTTGGAAACACAACCCCGCTTTCCTTACACCATGTGTCCACCTTGGTAAAAATCGTTCAGCGCCTTCATCCCACAAAAGAGACAGTAACGGAAGTGGCGGCACAGGTCCCCAGAGAGGGCTGCCGGCCCCGAAGAGCCCAGGCGCAGATGGAGAGGGGAAGCAGGCCGCCAAGTTCTCGCCCAGCACCAGCTGCGGCGGCGGAGCCCGTCGCGGGCGGAATCGGGAAAGCAGGGGTAGGAGCTGGGAGTCTGCCCTCGCGGGAGGCCGGGCCTCGCCCCGCCCCGTCCCCGGGAGGCCGTCAGCCGGGCCCGTCCCCGTCCCACCCCCGCGAGGCCGCCAGCGGGGTCCAGTCCCCATCCAGACCCCGCGAGGCTGCCAGGAGGACCCGTCCCCGTCCCCGGGAGGCCGCCAGCGGGGCCCCGTCCCGCCGCGCCGCGCAGGGAACCCCGGGGCCGTCGTTCCCGCGCGTGCCGCACGGCGACGTCGGCGCTCCAGCGCGACCCTGCTGGCGGGGAAGGCCGCGTCCCCGAGGGGCCCCCCGTCGCACCCTGTGCTCCGCAGGCACCGTGAAGAAGCCTTCCCTACGGATACACTTCAGACGGATCTGCTCCGACTCGGGGTCCGGCTCCGCCATGGCGAGAGCCGGCGCCACGGCCCGAGCGCGCAGGCGCGCGATCTACTTCCGGGTCGTGCTGCCCCGCCCCCCCCCCACGGTTACCCGGGGGACCTTGCCAGGACCTAGACACGCCCCACCTGGCGAGGTTCCAGCCTCTGAGCTCAGCACGTGGGGCTGGATGCAGACCCTGGCAGCTGGTACAACGGCAGAAGGCGGCAGGTGGGGAGGGCCCCTTGAGACGGCATCCAGCTCAGCACTGCCCTGCGGGTGCACCCTCCACTTCGGAAGAGCAGAGCTCCGCAGTGAATGCGGGCAAGCCCAGGGCGTCTGCCCAGTCCTAGAGGGTTCTGGGTTTGTATGTAGTATGTATGTATGTACTAGATAGGACTGGTGTTTATACCAGATGGACTTACATCTACATATGTATGTATACATTTGAAGCTGTTGGAGCCAGGCTTGGTGGCTCATGCTGGAATTACAGAATTCCAGCAACTCAGGAGGCTGAGGCAAGAGAATTTAAAGTTTGAGACCAGCCTCAGTAAATTAGTGAGACCCTAATTCAAAATAGAAAAAAAAAGAACGATATGTCGATATGTGTGACAGGCACCTCAATACCTGAGAAGACTGTGGCCATGCCACTGTCCCCTATTTCTGGTTTGCCCTCTGAGGCCAGCCAATCTAGAAACTAACAAAACTAACACATTGTTACTACATACATAAGATCAGACAGGCCAGGGCACTCAGTCAGGCCACAACCTGACCTGAAGACTGTGCTGAGGGTGGACTCAGTTGAGTTCTCAGTGACATCATAACTGCATCCCAAAGTGGCCCTTAATTACCAGAGGGCCAGGAAGACAGGACAGCATTAACAAGGTCACTTCCAAGGTCCATGTGCCCTGCCCACCCACCCCAGGGCACTTCCTGCACTATTCTGGCCTTGGACAGCTCAGAGGCTGGCAGCCCGAGGTGGCTCTGAATCTCTCTGTTCTACAACATTACCACTTAAAAGTTTATACTCAGCCTCTGGCCTTTTCTCCAATTTGGGGGACAGGCCACTCACTGTAACTTCTAAGTACTTACTCCTCAGAAGTGAATGGAAAGGATCCTAACTGCCCACCTAAGTCAGAGCCCGAGGTGCCGCCTGCTGTCCATCATTCATCACAGCCAGCCACTTCCAACACGGAAATGCTAGTTTATTCATTTAACACCACAAATTTCACTCTCTGAACCTGTCACTGTCACTCCATAAGCTGCCAGCGGCCCTAGGGAAGGTAAGACCAAGGTGGTCACTGAGGCAGAACCTAGTGGACTGAGGGCACCTTGGCTCCAAAGGGGCAGGATGGCCCTTTGCCTGTGTGGCTGAAACTCAGCACACTGAGTCATGACAATTCAGGGGCGCTTGTTTATTCTTTAGTATGCAGATCATAAGCAGCTACTGTACTGGGGTTCCTGTGTCGGTGGTAGGGACCCCAATCAGCCTGTTCCCGAATGGTTCTCTGCTCTTCATTTCCAGTGGAACAGTAGCTGATTAGAGTCTCATTTGAGGCCCGAGTGATGATGATCTGCGGAATGACAAATTTCTTCTTGTTCGACTTTTGCTTTACATCAGGTTTCTCTAGAGGGAAGAAAACATCCAGGCATTTAGTGGCTGTGTGGGGAACTTCCACAATGCAGACAAGGCCTGTCTGGGGCCAGAATAAAGGAATCGGGCTTGGGGTTAGCAGGAGAGACTGTGCACGGAAGTTCCAAAGCTCACATGGATTCACAATGCAGCCACAAGGGTCCTTTCCTTCAAGGGAGAAACAGGAGACTTTCTAGATTTCCTGTGCCCTAGGGAAACAGCTGTAGGGTGGCTTCAGGGCAACAGCACAGGAAGGAGAGGATATAAAGGCAGTTCTGCCCCAGATGCCCAGCATCCAGAGGGTTATAACTCTGGAAGAACTTCTGTACAGATCTCTACCCATCAGAATTGCTAGAAAAGGCTGTTTCAGGCACTGCCATTTGCATACTCCTAAAGGTGACCGAGTTTGTCTTGTTACAAGGTATGAAAGCCAAGGAGCTCCCAGCCTCCTCCCTCCACCACTGGCTCCAGGCTCCCAGGCTGGGGCCTGTGGAAGCCCAGTGAGGTGCACAGACAACACAGTCAAATGCTGATCATGCCCTTTTGGGGCTTGCTTTGATCCCTCAATTCCCTTAATGCTGCATGAGCCCAGTTACAGGGGAGAATGAGTGGTTAGTGATATCAACATGGCTTTTATTATTTATTTTGTAGCACTGGAAATCGAACCCAGGACCTCATGCATGCCAGGCAGGCCTCTCGCACTGGTCTGCTAAAGAAAGCCATTCTGCAGATGTACAGGTGTATCATTCTCTGGCACGCACATCCTAGCCTGTTTTGGAGACCTGGCCTTGTTAAGTCGCCAAGGCTGGCTTGAACTCACAATCCTTCTGGTGAGCTTCCCAAGGAGCTGGGATTACAGGCCTGCTCAACCATCCCTGGCAGACCTTCAATATTTCTTTTTCTTCTTTTCTTTTGGTATCAGGGGTTGAACCCAGGGGTTCTTTACCACTGAGCTACATCCCCAACCCATTTATTTATTTATTTATTGTTTTGATATGAAATCTCACTAAATTGCTGATGGTCTCACTAAGTTGCCCAAGCAGGAATCAAACTTGTGATCATTCTGCCTCAGTCTTCCCAGTCGCTGGGATTACAAGGCAAAGCCACTGCACCTAGCACCTTGAATATTTCTTTGTGACATCCTTCTTTGAGGTTTAGAAAAATCAGATTAATATTTACATCATTTTATTCTAATCACTCTTGACCATCTGGAAACTATCTGCATATGGCAAAAGGCTACAATCCAACTTGTGTTTTCCTTACAGTGTTAGGCAGTTTTCCTAGCATCATTCATTATACAGTTCTTCCATTTTCCGCTTTTTTTCCCTTGATACCAAGCATTAAAGTTATTTAGTTCTTTTTGCATACTTTTATTGGTGTGTTATAACCATACATAATAGTTACATTTTTATGTATTCGTACTTGGACACAATATAATGATATATTTGGCTAATGTAATCCCCACCTATTTTTGGTGCCAGTTTTATTGTACTCTCATTACATACACACACACACACAGACACACACAGCTTTTCATGTTTTCCATTTCATTGATCTGCTTGCTCTCTTTGTACTGGAACTACATATTTTTTTTCCAGATATGAAATCAACCCCTTGATATCTTGTCTCTATGTTTCTTTACCACATCAAAGGGTTGACTGCAACACTGGACCTTTGCTTCTGTCCAGTAAGTCTATGTCACAAGATGAATCAGGATTTAGAGATGTTTAGCATCTCTTTCTTTTCAAATTACAACAAATATTTGGAATTTACTGCTGCAGTCTCACATGTTCTTATCATAATAGTGGCCAAAACTGAAAGACATATTAAAAAAAAGACCCTGAAGTCATCCATACTTGCCATTTATTTAGTCTGGTTTGGAGAAAAAGGCAAAGAATTCTGGAACTACATTTTTAATAACAACTTTTGACATATTTTTAAAGTTTTTATTTTTAAAATATGTATACATTCATAGAAAGTTGCAAAAGTAGAACAGAAAGTTACTGTATACTCTTCACCCAGTTTCCCCCAATGATAACACCTTTTATATCTGAGTTAATATAAACACTGGCATTGATCCAAGGTGTACAGATACATGCCATGTAGTCACGTGACCCCACCTTCATCAGGACACAGGACTGTTTCCCACCAGACATCCCCACCACTAGTCTGTTCACCATCTCTATAATTTTGTCATTTGGTGAATATTACACAAATGGAATCAATCATACAGCATGTGACCTTTTGAGACTGGGGGTTTTTTTTTTGGTGCCAGGATGGAGCCCATGGCCTCATACATGCTAGGATTTAACCCAGGGGTGCTCTACAACTGAGCCACATCATCAGTCCTTTTTGTTTTTTTTCCTTTTGTGTGTGTGTGTATAGTACTGGGGATTGAACTTGGATGCTCTACTAGTGACCTGTATCCCTAGACCCTTTTGTTTTATTTTAAGACAGTATCTCATTAAGTTGGCCAGGTTGGCCTTAAACTCCTAGGCTCAAGCAATCCTCCTGAGTAGCTGGGAACTCACATGTACACCACCATGCCCAGCCAAATTCAGTTTTTTCTTTTGGTACTGGAGATTGAACCCAGGGGTGCTCTACCACTGAGCTACACCCCCAGCCCTTTGTAATTTGAGACAGGTCTTGTCCAGTTGCTGAGGCTAGTGTAGACCTTGCCATCTTCCTGACTCAGCCTTCTGAGTAGCTGAGATTACAGGCATGCACCACCATGCCCAGCCTAATTCCTTTTTCTTTTTGGTGGTGCTGGGGATTGAACTCAGGGCTTTGTACATGCTAGGCAAGCACTCTCAACTGAGCTATATCCCCAGCCCCCATTTTTTTTTTTAAAAGGCATAGACAGAGGTCTATTTAGGAAAGTGGATACACATTCAAGGGAGAACAGGGTGGGGAATGGCAATCTCAAAAGAGAGCTGCAGGGAACTGGGGCTGTGGCTCAGTAGTAAAATACTTGCCTAGTATGTGTGAGGTACTGGGTTCTATTCTCAGCACCATAAGTAAATAAAGTTCCATAAACAACTAAAAATATTAGAGAGAGAGAGAGAGAGAGCACACATGGCGCGCGAGAGCTGCCTTTGGACTAAGCAAGGAAAACACAACCCAGGGAAAATACAAGCCATCTCCAGAGGGAGAGACAGTAGCCCATTGGTGCACTGGCCCAATTCAGTTGTAAGAATGTGTCCACCATCCCAAGAAGTCCTCTTGTGCTGAGTGTGACCAATTCCCACTCCTGCACTTGGCACCAGAAGGTCACTGAGCGCCTCTCTATGTATCTGCTTTTGGACATTCGGATATAGAGCATCGTCCTGTAGTGCTCTGTGCACTTGGCTTCCTTCATGTGGCATCATGTTCTGGGGTTGTTCCACAGTGCAGCACATCAGTGGTGCTCCCTTGTTACTGTAGAGCACGTTCTACCGTGTGGAGGAACCACACTCTCCCCTGTCTCGAAATTCATCTTCACTCTTGTTCCTTGACCTGCTGTTTTCTCTTCATGTCCCTGCCTCCGAAAAGGTGCTGTGAGACAGCTGCTGCCTGGTGCCTTTCCAACAGGCAGTTCCTTGCTGGCAGGGGTCTTGCCCACTCCAGTGCCTCATGGGTCCTCCAGTCTCTGGTGAATTTGCAAAGCGAGACCATCCTAGACAGGCAGAGCAGCTGAAGGGAAAGGTCTCCTTGCTAACAGACAGTGAGGAAAACCAGGAGCCTTCTGGCTATCTGGGGACTATGGCAAAAGACATCCTTGATATGAGGGCAGCAGAGTATAACATGCCAAGTCCTTGTCAGGACTTAGTCAGTGGTGAGCTGATGAGCAGACCATTCTGAATGCTCAGTAGAAGGGTGATATCTGACTCTTCCATCATTTGTGAGACTATGACCTCAGTTGAATTTGGTGGCTTTTTTGTAATTGTGGCTAAAGGCACCCTGAGAGACAAGGGCAACCCTAGGACTCTGGCCCTTCTCAGCCTCCTACCTTCAAGTGAGGAGTTCCTGAATTTCACGTCCAGCCTGTATCCCAAGCCCAGTGCCTGAACTTCACCCTGCCTCCTGCTTGTGGCCCCTTGATGACCTACATCCTGCCCAGCCAGTGTGCCATTTCTTATACTTTCTCATCTGACCCATGAACCCCATCTCATCAGATAGAAGGTTCTGTTGTTTCCAACTCCTGGGTCCTTCTGGAATCCCTGGTGCCACAGGCTCACTGGTTCCCAGCAGATTACATCAATGGACCCAGGACAGATCTCCCTTGGCTCTGTGCTTCCCTCAACTAGCCTCCGTGCTGGAGCCAGACAGACTTTTCCAAGGCAAAGCCCCATCACACTTCCCTTGTTTTAAATGTTTAACAGTCCCACTCCACAGTCGGCAAGACCAAGTGGAGGGAAGACTGTATTCAGGCTTCTTCCCGCAGTTGTGGCCTCAGTCCCTCCACTCCACATTAAGCTGCTAAAAGGGGACACATTTGCTAACTGCTTTGCTCCTTTGTCTCAGTGGTTGGCTCCTCACAGCTGCACTCCCGCCGGGCAGTGCCCCGGTTCCATTCCAGACTCTCACAGTGGTGCCAGATGACACCTGGTGGCTTCTCCCCAAGTCCTCTGGACTCTGTTACCTACCTAAACTCTAAGGGAACTTACCTATCCATGAAGAGCTGGATATCACTTCCCACCCAGAGGCCCTGAAGCGAACCCCCCCCCCCCACGGCCAGGGTCTGGAAACTGGACCCCGTCCCGTGGCGAACGTACCTTCCGACGAAGCAGAAGGCCTCTCGTGCTTGGCCGACCCCTTCCTCAGGAAGTGGCTGTCCGCGAGCTTCTCGGCCTCCAGGGAGTGCTTCTCCGACAGCCTATCCTTAGATTTCGAACTCGAATAGGAGGAGCCCTTCCTTTGCTCCTCACCTGAAACACACGCACAACCGTCAGCCCGCCACCCGGGTCGGGGCGCGGGCTCCGGGGCGGCCCGAGCAGCGGCGGGCGCCCTTTACCTTTCCTGGGTTTGGGCTTGCTTTTCGAAAGTCCCATAGGTGAGCCCGCCGCCCCGCCGGCGCGGGCCGGGGTCCCCGCGCCTCCGCGGCTGCGCGCCCAGAGTGGCTCACAAAGCCCTTCCGCGAGCCGCGGCGGCGCCGGTCACCACGGCAACCGCGCGCCTCGCGCGATCTCGTCCTCTCGCGAGAGCGGCTGACGACCGGAAGCGCCGCGACCCGGAAGTCCCCGTCCGGCGCAGCGGAGAGGTTGGGTTGAGTCGCCTGCGCCCGGCCCCGGGCTCCCGCTGTCGGACTGGCCATGGACGGTAAGGGGCGGCGGCGGACTCCGGATCCCCCACCTGGGGTTTGTTCCCCGGGCGCCCACCCCACTCTGGGCCCGGGAGACCCGACCTCACATCCCAACCCCAGAGACCGTCTCCTGGGCCCCGACCCCACATCCCCACCGACGCCGCCCCCGGGCCCCGACGCCGCCCCCGGGCCCCGACCCCGCATCCCGACCAGGAGACCGTCTCCTGGGCCCGACCCCTGGTCACATCCTGACCAGGAGACACCACCCCCCTCCCAAGTCTTGACCTCGCCTTCCCAGGGGAGTCCAGGCCCCCTTTCCTCTAAACTTGGCATAACGAGTGAACAGCGTGTCCACTTCTGCCCTTGGGGCCCTGGAATGCCTGGCCAGAGGGTACCAGAAAAGGTGCAGTGGCGCTCCATGACCCCAGAACACCACTCAGAGAAATAGGAAGAGAGCTCTAAGGGCCGGACACAGGGGTAAGCCCCAGACCTCAACAGCAGCTATTTTGAAACTGGAGCCATACGCCCCATTCTGCAGGTGGGGAAACAGGTTGGAAGGGAACCACCGACCCGGCAGTCTGACTCCCTGGCCCGCCTTCACTTTGGAGTGCTCTGGGCCCAGGGATTCCAAAGAACAAGAAGAATCAATGGCAAAATTAAGCTGCCTCCATTTGCAGAAACATTTATGGGGTAGTGTGATAGATTTAAAACTTTAAAACATTTTTTTTTTTTCAAAATGCTTGGGTAGAAAGTATATAACTATGTCATTGTCATGAAGAAAATGTGTTGGAATTCTTTATAGACCACCGTGGAGTGATGAGAGGTAACACCTAACCTAACTGCCCCCACCTCCTGAAGAAAAAGCTCTGCTGGTTCTTTTGAGGAAACATGTTTTGTTGTTGTTGTTGAAAAATTATGTATTAATTTACTTTACAGTAGAATGCATTTTGACACATTGTACACAAATGGAGAACAACTTCTCATTCCTCTGTACATGGTGCAGAGTCACTTCAGTAGTGTAAACATACATTTATTTAGAGTAATAAAGTCTGCCTCATTCTACCATCCTTCCCATCCCCACAGTACCACCCCTCCCCTCACTCTTCTCTACAGAAATCAAAATTCCTTCATTCTTCCCTATCCCCTTGCCCTATTATGGATCAGCATCTGCTTATCAGAGAAAACATTTGGCTTTTGTTTTTGGGGTGATTGATTTATTTTACTTAGTATTACATTCTCCACTTCCATCCATTTATCTGAAAATGCCATACTTTCATTTTTCTTTAAGGCTGAGTAATATTCCATTGTGTATATAAACCACATTTTCTTTATCCACTCATCTGTTGAAGGGGAGGAAACCTTCTTAAGCCAGTTTCTCCAGCTGTGTGTTCTACATGGTTCATGCAGTCTGGATAAGGACCCTGAGGCTGGAAGGGAGGGGATTTTGCCAAGTGGGATGGACTGGGCAGACTGGGCATCATGGCACTGATTTGCTTGCCCATGTATCAGGGTAGCTTTGTTTTCCAGAGTCAAAGCCAGCTTTGGCCTTGACCAGGCCCTGGCCAGGCCCAGTGGCACATGCCTGTAATCCCAGCTACTCAGGAGGCTGAGGCAGGAGGGTCAAGAATTCAAAGCCAGATCAACAGATTAGTGAGGCATTTAGCAACTCAGCGAGACCCAGTCTCAATAAAATTTAAAATGGGACTGGAGATGTGGCTGAATGGTTAAGCACCCCTGGGTTCAATCCCAGTACTAAAATATATATACACACACACACACACATTTGACCAGACCCTGTACTGAGAAAAGATAGATTGCTAGGTGCCCAGAACTCAAAGGGGATCCTTGATTGCATCTGTGGAATGTACCCTTATTCAGGGCCGAGGGGGGTGACCTTTCAGGAGCCAGTTCTTGGGATCCTCATTCAAGGCTGGGGGGTGATGAACCCTTCAGAAGCCAGCACTCAGGACTTTCATGCTGGGCCAGGAGAGGATGGATCCTTTGGGACACACATTCTGGGCTGGTGGGGCAAACCCTTTTGGAACCAGTACTCAGGTTTCTCCTTCTGAGTTAAGGTAAACCCTCTAGAACCCTCTTTCTGTGCTGGGGTTGAACTCTCCGGATTTAGAAATTTAATAAATTTATATCAGTCAGAATCTGCCTGGCCCTTGAGTTGTAGTGAACAGGCAGTGAATTAGGACAACAGTGGATTTGTTCAAGACACTCCGTCTGCAGGGTGGGCGGGCAAGGTAACCTGGTAACAAGGTAACCTGAAGCAATGGCTTAGAAATGGCAGCTGCCATGGAGTCAGTTATCACTTGGCTATTTTGATCCATTTACCTTTGGGACGATTGAGTACATACAAAATGGACTGTTAAGTACTGAACATTATTAGGTTGGGAAAGAATCCCAAGGGTCTTTTGTGAAGTTGCATTAATTGTAAACCACCATCTCAAGTTTTCACCACGGCCAGGAGCTGCCTGCGTTACATGATCTGTCCTCATACCCACCCCACATTCTCAAAAAGGACACTGGCTAAGGGAGTGTCTGTGTTGATTACAGCCCTGCAGCTAGGAAGGGGCTGGAGCTGGCCACCAGTGTATCTTCTGCTCAGGCCCTAGCCAGTGCTGTCAGGTCTCAGTTCTGTGCAAGCTCCTAGTGTCTGCAGGGGTCTCAGTGAGCCCATCTGTTTGTTGGACTTGCTGCTTGTCATGTTTCATGAGCATGCAATCCTCAAACCATGTTCTCTTTCTTTGCAGATACCCTGTTCCAGTTGAAGGTATGTATTAAATGACCATTTGCCCCAGCCCTGTCCTGGCGATGAGCAAACGGGGACAGATGGTACAAGTCACACTCAGAATCCTAGTAACAGAGTTGGGACAACTGCTCAGACTGCTGACCAGAGACAAGTTGTTGAGCTGGCTCTGTGCAATATTAATTGATTCCTCTTTTCTGGCAGTAGATCACTCTAGCTCATCCATGAAAGACTGAGTGTATTATCTCTCAAGAAACAAGCTTGGTGTTGTGGTTATGCCTTGATGGCCCTGCTAAGCAATTGAGCTGTGGCCTGAAATGCTTGAAAGTCACTATCAGAGAACTGAGGATGGTGCCCTTCGTGTTGGGGTGGTGTTTTCAGCTTTCTGACAACCCCAGGCTCGTTCCTCACTTTTCTTTTAAAGGACCCACACTTCATCATCAAGGTTAACGGTATCTTGTTTCTCACTGGACTCAGGTTGGGCAGGAATGGAGTCCACAGACTACCACATGTAGCTCTCAAGTGGCCTCACCTCACACCAAGTCTTTGTGAAGTACTGCTGCTGTGGGCACAGGCCCTCAGGGGATCAGTTGCATGGAAGACCAGTAAGCCAGGCCCCTAGCAGTGGTGGCAGTGGCTTGGACTGGTTTTGGCACCAGGCAGCTGCAGAGGTCCTGGGGTCACGCATCCTGGTAGTGGTGGTAGCAGGACAATCAGGTTTCTGGGATCTGTCTGCACAAGTATTCTGTGGAAATTATATTTTCAGGTTTTGAGAGGTTTTGTTGTTGTTGTTGTTCTGTGGTGCTGGTGATTGAACCCAGGGCTTTGTGCATGTGAGTCAAGCACTTACCAACTGAGCTACATCCCCAGCCCATGGGTTTTGAGGGTTTTATTGGTTGGTTGGGTTGGTACCAGGGTTGGTATCAGGGTTAGTTGGGTTGGTACCAGGGGTACTTTGCCATTGAGCTACATCCCCAGCCCTTTTTATTTTTTGTATTGAGACAGGGTCACGCTAAGTGGCTTAGGGCCTTAATTGCTGAGGCTGTCCTTGAACTTCAGAACCTCCTGCCTCAGCCTCCTGAGCCATGGGGATTACAGGCAGGCGCCACTGCACCTGGCATCTTTAGTATTTTTATCTAGAATTATGTGTTACTATTTGGGGGTGTCCTGGAACAAGTTGGAAGCCTTACATAAGCAGGAATTGGTGTCAGCCTTCCATTCTGGGGAAGGGCTTGGATTAGGATGTTTGGGGAGAAGACAAATGTTTTAGAAAACCTGTCAGAGGCATCTCCTTCCTCAAGCTATTGCAGTCTCAACCCCATGATGGTGGGCTTTCTGCCTTCTCAGCTTGTGGCCAGTCCAGGGTGGCAGAGGTGGAGGGACTGGGGAGCGGGACTTAGAGGGTGGACCTCAGGCGTTCAGCTCAGAATGTCTTGGTTTTCCTCAGTTCACAGCGAAGCAGCTGGAGAAGCTAGCCAAGAAGGCAGAGAAGGACTCCAAGGCGGAGCAGGCCAAAGTGAAGAAGGTGTGCGACGTGTCCAGCTTCTGATTCTGCCTTCTCCATGCTTTTCTGTTCCGTTCTGATGCTGTCTTCTAGAACCGCACTGTGGCTTCTGATCCCTGCCATATTCACTTCCGATCTGAGACCAGCAGTCTTGGGAGAAGGGGCAGTTCCTGACTCCACCTTCCTGATCCGTGGGGTGTGCACATGGGAAGATGAGTGCATAGCCTCTGCTGGTTCTCTTTAAATGTCCATCCTGTTATTCCTCTGATATTCTGAAGTTGCTTTGCACTAAATAATACAGGAAGTGGGCTCTACCTGTCCCTGCTATGATCTCATCATTCTTTTCTGCAGAGCTGGTGTCCAGGGCATCAGGGTTTGGGCAAGGGTACAGTGGGCCTCCATGGGGTGTGATAGGGCTGGAGACTCTCTGGGGGCCTCTCCTGGGAGAACCCTGAGAAGGCAGGGCAAAAGGAATGTTGGAGACCCTTGCTTTTGGTGGAACTTCCATTGAAACTTTACTTACATTACTTCCTTGTCTGGGGATATAGCTCAGTGGTAGAGCACTTGCCTAGCATGCAGGAAGCCATTG